CGTCGTGTCGTGCGTGCGTGTGTGTGTGTGTGTGTGTGTGTGTGTGTGTGTGTGTGTGTATGCATTCGTATGCGAATATATAGAAAGACTCTATTAATGGAAGCTACTCATTTATGCATATACAAATGAGAATTGCGCGCGACAGGATATTAATTTCATCAAGATCTGATGACGTGTTTACCACTTTATCAGTAAAATGTTACATTTCCTGACAAGCTGAGAGAGTGGGATACATTTGAGACACATTTTGCGATTTATTAATACATGGCTAATAAATGACTAAATGTAATAGTGCATAAATACACAAAATCAAAATGAAGATCATCGTTGTAGTATAACGATCATTGCTGCTGCCGTATGTCTAATCTCTTTTTTTTTTCTGTATAAACACAAAGTTGCCGTCTATGCGCTGCTAAATATCGCTATTTCATATCCGCCGTAATGCACGGGTCGTTTAATTAAATTTCGAACACGAAATCGCGAGAATTCGTGTTAACCGGCGACTGGTGCCTCGCAGAATCGAATTATGAGGGACTGCGGCGGTCGGCGCTCTTCATGGATGCGAATTTCACTTCCGGGCGCGGAGAGGTACAATAAAACAAAGATATTTGACGGACCAGAGTGAGAGATAGGGGCGAAGAGCAAGCGGTAGAATCGCAGTCCTCCTCGTCGGTACCACGCGCGGGGGACGCGTTCTGGCGTGCAAGGGCAACGGCGGCAATAGGACGGGGGAGGAGACACGGGGTTGGAAAGGCTATGAAATTACGGGTAGGTAAATGAAACTATTCCAGAGTCCCATGCATGCAGCTGCCGCTGCGCCGCTACGTCGGTACCAGTCCAACCTGACCCAACAGTCCGGAAAGGACTTTTATTTTTATTTGCCTTCCGCTTTATTTTCGCTTTAATTTCTCCCTTTTCGTCGCTTACTAATGGGAGGGGGAGGAGGGTGAGATAGCAGCGCGAAGGATGGAGAAAGGGACACACACCAAGTGGATGGGATCGCCGGGGCCATTGGCCGTACCTTTCCCTTTCCTACGATCCCTGGACTAAATCCTCCGGCAAAACTGTAATTCTTCTTTCAATACCGATAAAATTAATTATCTTGTCCGCCTCCATTTCGTTCCGCCGTCCGCCGTTCTCGCTCCTTCGTCGCGACGCACTTAAAGACGTAACATAAATTCTTATTTCCAGTTGTAGAAACTTGAAGACAGTCGGTTATGTGGCGGTTTAATCTTCATAGTATGGAAACTATATTATACATTTTTAGCTAACCGTATTCCATTTTATATGTACACACACACACACACACACACACACACACACACACACACACACACACACACACACACACACTAC